TAGCATCCCCAAACCACCAAACTGTATTGCCCTTTTAATATGTAAGACAGTAACCAACAGGTTTCCTAATGCTTCCCTGTTTTAGAGAGATGGCATAACCAACCAATCAAACCAATTTCAATTATGTTTAAATTGTAAGAATAGATTTAAAGGAGAGCTGCATTCAAAATAGGGTTGCCCAGTCCACAGCAACATTTTAGATCCTTACGCTGGAAGAGTATGTTTTAATGATAATGCTTATGTGGCATTGCTTTCATATTATTACCCATGCTAGAATAACTTGAAATCAACCCCATTTTATGAAATACACAGTAATCACATTTAGCTTGCCACATCAAAAGTGATTTAAATGTTTATCTACGGTAACAAGCTTTTAAAATAATGTACATAAAAGGAAAATTTTCTGATTTGTGATTTTCAATTTACTGATTCATTTCCTGTGTACCTAAGCTGTCTTTTACTAATTAACCATGCAATTGGATAATTTACATATATTTTAGGATTTTCCCATTATTCTTTAGCTCTTAAAATTTTAGTTCTGAGTTTCAGCTGTGGCTGATATAAAATTTAGCCTTGTAATAATGGAGGTCTATTATTTATGAAAGGCTTTCTGTATTATAAAGTAAGAAAATGATTAGGAACTTTCCACACTCCAGGAGGGAATATAGAAAGGTGTTTTGCCAGGGGCTGGGCAGAGAGAGGGAGGAGGAATTAGTGTTTAATAAGACTAGAGTTTCAGTGCTGCAAGTTGAAAAAGTTCTAGAGATCTATTGCACAATAATGAATATACCTAACATTTCTGAATTGTACACTTAAAAATGGTTATGATACTAAACTTAATGCTACATGTTTTTTTAAACACACACACACACACACACACACACACACACAAGAATTAGCTTTGCAAGGTACACTTTCCAAAAATGTACAAGTCTATGTGTATCTGGACTAATCTTCTAATTATGTTCTAATAAACATATATAATTCTGGAGTTGGTATTTTGGTTTTAACTCACATCTGATTGGCCAAATCTTTATGGCCAATGCATGTGCAGTACCGAAAAATCATGTATAAATCACTAGACAAGTATCTTAGGAGTTTTATGCTGAATTTATCATTTTCCTTAAAAAGAAAGAGAGCTATTGATTTGCAGGGACAAAAATTTTTGTGCCGTATGAAACCAAAGTGAGAATGATTACACACATCTTGATTTGGCAATCCCAGTTGGTTCCTGGGTGAATTTCATTCTCTTTTTACTGACATCAAAATTTCAATGTACATGGCTCATTAGTACTTGCAGGCATTTTTATAATGGCAATTTATTACACTTTCAGGTGACAGGGACTGTCCTTTGAAAAATTGCTTTCTGACCTCCTCCTCTTTCAAACCACAACACCTGCCGAATGAAGTGGCCTGCTCTCTTTTCCTAGCCCCATACAGACAGAGAAGTTTTTGTGTGCAGAAGGAGAGCAGGGCTGAAAAGCATTGGCAGGAAGGTTTATGCAGCAGCCTGTCTGTCGAACTGCATGGATCAACAGTTTCTCAATTAGAAGAAGATAGACGAGAAGATAAAGTATTCAGTGACTGTAAAGCTTCAAGCAGCAGCTGAGGAAGATTTTGAGAACATCTGGTCGGAATCTATTTCTTTTTAGGTAAGCATTCCTTTTTTACAATGAGCATACATAAAGCATGAAATTGGCTTACCCTGCCTTGTACTGAAAAGGGAAAAGCTGGTTAGAATTATTACTCCTTTGATGAGGGTCTGGAGAGAGGGAGGTGGCATTGGCATTCCCACTGGAGGTCCCCCCAAATCCTTTGGACTCCTCTCACAGAGGACATTTGTCTGCTATACCAAATCCATTTTAAGAGCCTGTCTGAGTTGGAGTGTGAAAGACCAATCACAAAAATAAAGCCCAATTCATGATGTTTCTGTTTTTCTCCCCCAAGAAATTTATGTCTGAGGAAAAGAGGCCATCAACACAAAACTTGTCTCTCTCTGAATTAAAAAAATTGTTTCTTTGTGTTTCTGGCTCATTCTCTTCCTTTGTTAACTTTAAAATTTGTTTCACTTTAGGCAATAAATGCTGAATGAATTGTTCAGTCTGTATCTGGCTTCATTTTGTGTGTTCATAGCATCCCCAAACCACCAAACTGTATTGCCCTTTTAATATGTAAGACAGTAACCAACAGGTTTCCTAATGCTTCCCTGTTTTAGAGAGATGGCATAACCAACCAATCAAACCAATTTCAATTATGTTTAAATTGTAAGAATAGATTTAAAGGAGAGCTGCATTCAAAATAGGGTTGCCCAGTCCACAGCAACATTTTAGATCCTTACGCTGGAAGAGTATGTTTTAATGATAATGCTTATGTGGCATTGCTTTCATATTATTACCCATGCTAGAATAACTTGAAATCAACCCCATTTTATGAAATACACAGTAATCACATTTAGCTTGCCACATCAAAAGTGATTTAAATGTTTATCTACGGTAACAAGCTTTTAAAATAATGTACATAAAAGGAAAATTTTCTGATTTGTGATTTTCAATTTACTGATTCATTTCCTGTGTACCTAAGCTGTCTTTTACTAATTAACCATGCAATTGGATAATTTACATATATTTTAGGATTTTCCCGTTATTCTTTAGCTCTTAAAATTTTAGTTCTGAGTTTCAGCTGTGGCTGATATAAAATTTAGCCTTGTAATAATGGAGGTCTATTATTTATGAAAGGCTTTCTGTATTATAAAGTAAGAAAATGATTAGGAACTTTCCACACTCCAGGAGGGAATGAGATTAGTTTAAGATAGAGCCTTGCAGAGTAAAAACTAGTCCAGAAGCAAAGAAAGGCTTACCGAGTCACAGGAAATTTCAGGGCACAGTTAATCTATACTGTCCTCTTTAGGTATGCTATAAATTTTCATGGCAGTAATTAAGATTAAACTGTATTGAAATAACTTGGAGTTTTTAGCTTTCATCCAAAAGACAAACTAGAAATTGAAGATCCGTGGGAGGAGTCATCTTTTCTCCTAAATTTACACCTAGAAGGAGAAACAGCCCCACCTTAGGCAGTCAGTAGATTCAGGTCAGGATCACCACTACTGTGAGTTTCCCAGGTTCCTTTTATTCCTTTCCTCCTCCGCAGTGCCCTGCCTGCCTTTGGTCATTCCACTGTTCATTAGCACCTCACCTGAAGAGGGAGAGGAAAAAGAAGAGGTGAAATGAAGTAATCAACTTGGTCACTTGTTAGCAAAGGTGGTAAGAGGTTTAGAAGTCAAAATAGATTTAAAAATTATCAATATGTTATAGCGACTGCCATTATCACAAGTAATTAAGAGTTAGCCACGTGATAATGCATTTCTATGACAGATATCAGCACTGTCCCCAAGTCCACTCTCTGGGATTGGAGAAGGCCTGGTTCAGGTGTAAATGGTGTTTAGAAAAAGAAGAAAGAATGAATCCCTCATTTGTGAAATAAGGGTATTCAAATAGTGATTTCTATTTTGCAAATGACTCTAAAATTTTCTTTGTTAAAGATATTTGTCAGCAGATAGAGATATGTACTTTTATATTTACGATTTTTCACTTAAAGTTAAACTTCAATACATTGCAGGGTGGTGTGAATTCCAACTCCACCAATCCAGGAGGACAAAGTCATAGAAAGCTGCTGAATTCAAGTATGGTTCTATCTCACCCTCATCTTTTTTCTCTCTTTTCAGAGAAACCCCAAAAGTTTGCTCTTCAGTGCCTCCTTTAAATGTACAATTGCTTCTTTAGTTGCAGGAAAAGCAGAAAGAAAAGAAAGGAGAACAAAGGCTCCGAAGACTGAAACTAAAAGCCAGATGGTTAATTTAACTATGAAGGGCAAAAGGGAGCCCCAACATCAGTGGGGAAGATCATTGTAGGGCTCTTAGGACTGAGGAAATCAGGTGGTACCACTTTAAGTATCTGACTGTGAATGAGTCAATGGAGAGCCACTTTTGGTAAGTTTAGGAATCAGAGAAAAAAGTTGTGCCACTACAGAATGATCCATTTTCTGCAGATTATGGCTTCGGAGCCTGGGCTGCCCTTGTTGGAGGGCATGATGCACCATCGGTTTTTATTTTCACGGAACAGACTCCAGAGGTTTGTGGCCTTCCAGACGGCAGCTGGCGCCGGGCAGAGGCGCAGCCTCGGGTCGGACCTGCTGGCGACCGCGCCGCGCTTGGCTGTGCGTCCCAGGCAGCCTGGCCAGCACCGCGGCCAGAACTTCCCTTTCAGAGCAGACGCTCCTCTGGAAGGGCCGCGGGGGGCCGCAACTGGCTGCTCTTCCGTAAATTGTGGGGGAAGAGGAGCTGATTTGAAGGAAAGGAGGGAGTGGGTTTGTAGAAGGGTTGACTCCTCCTCCTAACTGGTGCCTGAGAGGGGTGAGATGGTGGCCAAATAAAATGAAGGGAGATTTTCTCATTTTGAGTAACGAGGATTTTTGGATGAGCCTACCGATTTGGCAGACTTGATTGACTCAATCAGCTGCCATTTGGTTCCCACCTCAAACACACCTTCCCCTAGCCTATGTTCTGACTAACTCCAGAGGCTCGAAGTGGGATCGAGCGGAGGGGAGAGAATCAAAAGTCAGCCTTCATCTGGTCTCTGCTTGTGGCCGATGCACAGCTGGTTGGGGTCTGAGCAGGTTGGTGTACGAGGAGGAAAGACGGAGCCACTTCACCTCTGCGGCGGGGTTTGGGTGTGTGCGACTGGTGGGTGGGAAGGAAAAGGTGGGGAGCAGAGTTAAGCGGGAGTATTGAGCGAAACCCCGTATTTTGCGTCTCTGCTGCCCGTCCAGCCCCCAGTATCTGGTCCTCCGCGCGCCTCCTCCTTGCGGCACCCGGCGGAGAGGAGGGGTGAGGGGAGTGCGAGGGGTGGGGACGCTCGGAGGTTCGTGGAGCTCGCGGTGGCGGCGCGGCTGTCTCTTTAAGCGCTCCGGAGGGGCCGAGGCGGGAGGGCGGCGAGCGCGTTTCCATGGCACCGGGGCTGCGGGGGCCGCGGGGCCGCGGTGCGCGCTCAGGTTCCAGTAGCTCCCGACGGAGCAGGGGCGCGCAGCTCGGCGGCCGCTGCGCCTCGGGGGCTCGCCCAGCCGCTCCTCCCTCGCTCCCCGTAGCCTGTGCTGCCTGGTGCCACCGAGCTGCTGCCGCGCCCTCCTCAGGGAGACGCACCTCGCCGGCCCCGCGAGCTCCGCACACCAACTTCTGCCCGGCGAGCCCAACTTGTGCGCGGGCCTCGGACCTGCGGAGCCGGGGCAGCGCACGGCGCGCAGTCCGGGTGGCGGCCGAAGCCGCTCCGCCCCGCGGAGAGGACCTCGCGCCTGTGGCTCTGGTGCCTCGGCGCCTGGGTGGTCGCCGGCTGGCCGCCAGGCAGCGCCCTGCCGCTCCGGCCGGGCATGGAAGTGTCGCCCGCGCGCTCCGGGACTCTGGGGAGAGCGGGCCCTGTGCGCCTCCCCCCCGCGCAGACCGGGGGCTCGGCGCAGCCGGAGCCTTTCCCTCCGCGAAGGGGCGGGGAGCGCGAGCTGCCGGCCGGGATCTTGTGAGTTGTCCCAAGCGGAGCGCGGCGGGAACGCTGTCACCAGAAACTGGGACCAGGGGCTCTGTGCTTTCCACCCGACTGATAGTTTCTCAGAGCCCGACAGAATGGCCCCCAGATTTGGGTGTGTGCGTGGTGAGTGTGAGTGTGTTTCAGTTAATTTTTGGAAGAGTAACTAGTTAATGACAGGTTCCACTTTCTGGGAGGGTTTTGAATGAAATCGTGTCGGGCAGCGAGTTTCTTAACATGTTCTTAATAGAGACCAATGCGTTATTATTGTAAGGTGTATTTTTTTGGAGGGGGGGGTGCGGAGAAGTATCTCCGAGTCCAAAACAGTGGGTCATTCCACAGGTTTGATGAAAGGCGAACGCCGCTCGTCTGCCGGAGTGAGGAGCTGGGGAGACGAGTATGTCAGGGCTGAATGCGCGGCCACCTAGACCATAGTCTCCTTCGGAGAGAACTGAAGAGTAGGAAGGTGCCTGAAACGCATCGTCGGAGGACGGGGCGTGGTTTCATTTCTAGGTTAGAAGTGATGAAGGCTGGGAGATATTAATTTTGGTTATTGTGTCAAGCATAGCAAGAAGCTCAGGGGAAGGCTTTACAAATTGCCTAGTCGCCCCTCACTGGCTGGAGAAGTTTTCTCTGAATTCTGTAGCATCAGGAAGGTCATCATGGAGCAGCCTGAGAGGGGAGCAGATCTAATTCTGCTTTTCCTTTCTGCTCTTGAGCGGTTATGAATAAACACCAGAGTATTTCCAACATCTAAACATCGCTACTTTGCTTCGTCTCTGCTTTTCTGAAATGTGAATATTTTATAATAGAAAAATGGTTTCGATAAGTACACAAAGCCATCTATATCTTTTCGAGGCTTTACTTTTTTTCTGTAAGAAAAATACTGTGTTGGGGTTCACTTTACAATTCCATATTTCATCCTTCTCTTGTGAGATTCCATTCGCTACTTGCTTACTGCAAATGTCTCACTAACTATAAATCTTGAGACATGGCCCAGGTGTGGGTGGCATCAGAGAATAACTTCTTGCCTACATAGTTTGTAAATACCTATTTGGCGGAAATGCCAGGAGTTTCTGGTTAGGTGATTTCTCTTGTGTTGATAAGATGTATCTTGATTATTTCAAAGAGGTTGATTTAGACTTTTCCTCTCCAGTTTATCTCAGAAAACACATCTTACTTTGGATAGCTTGTGCATGCATAAGCCCTCACTAGAAACTGCTTTTTATTTAGCAAACTTGCTAGCTAGCCACACTCTTACCTAAAGTGCCATTAGTAAGTGGCTCCTGGGTTAGCTTATTAGGTAGCTACATAGCCACCCATGCAAAACAAGACTGAATAATTCCTTTGGGGAGCACTGAGAAATAATAGAAATACCACATGGCTTAACTGTTTTACCTTATGTTTCAATATTGACACTTTTGTTGAAAAGGCTGGAAGAATGACATTGCATTTTGCTTTTAAAGGACACTGCTATTGGAGCTCATTTATTTATCAGGTGAGATGGCATCCCATATTAAAGCCAATATAAATTCTTGAGTGTTTAATAGAGATGCTCTTTCTGGAGAGTTATTCAGGCCACTCTGATGACTCTTAACTACTTTCTGAAATCTGGATGGGGAAAAAAAAATCCAATCCAATTTGTATTTAGTCCTCCCTGGTATTTGAGCTATGGTTTCTTCAGCAGGAACCATGTTGGGATTTAGTGGTAGGTTTCTGCAGATGTCTTTGCAATTGTAGGCATGTGGGATGTCATCATGTATATAGCACTTTGCTTACACACACTTGTCCATTTATTAAAGAGAATTCTTTCTGAGATTTTTATTGACCTCTGGGTCCATTAGCAGTGAGATCAGGCTTCTAATGAGGAGAGGACCATTAATGAGAATGGGTCATCTTACCGGCTAGCCCTTATAGGTCGTTAACAAAGGAAACAGTTTTATGTAGCTGATCTTGCACTTGAGCAGATTTTGGAGCTGGAGTGACAAATGAAAAGAGGAAATGATTGTGCAGTTAAATAATGGTCAGCCTAAATTTAATGCATTGTATTTATTGTACATTCCCCCACAGGTAAGCTCATTTTTAAAGGAAATTTTATTAATGAAGAAAAAAATGATAATTGTAAATATAATTATCTAACTCTAATGATAATTAATCTGTCTTACCTTGTCTTATCACATTTAGGAAATCTTGGCTGATAACTAAGGCAAATTCATAAAGTCAGTGTTCTACAAAGAGTGCCTAAGTACTTACTATCTAAGTAGACACTGTAAATCACAGGTTATAATTGTTTGAATTCTTACTTAAATCCCAGGGGTATTTCTGGCTCCTTTACGTGTATTATTTCATTTAAATCCTGGAAATAGCTCTACAAGGCAAGCAATCTTATTTCCATTTTATGATGAATAAAGAGACACAATAAGGTGAAGTTCATACTCCAAGAATTCACAAGATTTCGATCCATGTAGTATGAATTCTAACACTGGAATTCTTAACAAATATGGTCCATTTCAGAATGCCCAGACCCAATCTCTGCTTTTAAGTTCTTTTTCATCACTGTTAAAGGTTCTCAGTGGGAGTGCAGCTGGTACCTTCTACCTAGTGTGTATTGAGAAATCTGTGGGGACTTTTTTGATTGCTGTAAAAGCTGCAGAGTTCTGTTGGCATTTGGGCTGGATATGGAGTGGATCTGGGATGTTAACTGTCCTCCAGTGAGTCAGCTCCTCACAAGGAAGATCTGATTTCTCTCCTCCTTATAGACTCTATAAGAAATTCTCCTGTTCTCACATGGTTGTAGGGGTTTAAGCACTAAAATGATAGGTTTAAACTGGGAGTTGTGGAATGGGAAAGCTCTCCTTGGCAAGTGTATTATGAATTGGAGAGTTGTAACTGGTGATGGCATTTTGATAAAGGGATATTGAAGAGTTTACTTATGTTAATGGTACTCTGCAAATGTTTTCTAAAGGATTAAATAGAAAGAAATAAACTCTACTCCAGATCTTTGACCCATCAAAGGAAAATGGCTCCAACATGTTCTATCAAAATTTATCCTTTGCAATGCTCTCTTGTGAACACTTGCATAATTATTGTGTACAACATGTTGAAAATAGTGAACATGGAAGTGCTGCAGATATTTTGCAGGCAGAAGTGCATAAAGGTGGATCTAGTAGCTTAAGGTCCTGGGATTTGAGATATTTGAATTTCTATGATACCTGGGGGGGAATTTTTAAAAGGGCACTTTGTGACTCAGCAGTCTTCTAAATTGTCTATTCCTAATGCAGGCATCTGATTCAGGCAGTTTAACATACAAATTCAAAGTATGCCTGATATGATACTGTTTATCTACCCTACCCCTACCCCCAACATTTAGTATAAAGAACTGTTTCACCTCTGAGAGATTTAGATTTTTTTTAAGCATTGCTGAATTTAAAAGTAGAGACAGTCAAGAAGCTATAATAATCCAGAATTGTGAGGGGGAATTGAGAAAGTTGTTCCTTGTACCACACACCATGTTAGAATTTGTTTTATTTTGGTTTGGTCTTGTTTTTCCACTTTTCGTATGGTAAAGCCTGAAACTGAGCCAATTACAGATGTCTGGGGCTAATAATAGTCTACTTTTAAATGTACAAATAATTTAAGCAAGGCCTGGTGTCTGTCATTTACTCATTGGTGTAAATTAGTCCAAAATGTTTTGAGATCAGCCACACCAAATGAGCAGAAAGTGAACTAGAGAAGGCTTGTGTGCTATGGGCAAGGCATTATTTCCAGCAGTTTGTATTTACTAATATATTTAATCCTTACAATAATTATATGAGGTATATAACATTATCATTTATAGTTTTCAGATGAGGATGTTGAGACAGAGTGAGGTTAATTAACTTGCCTGAAGTTTCATAGCTAAGAATGGTGGAATGGGTGTTGGACTCAGATTCTAACTCCAGAGCCTTGTTCCTATCACTATTCTCTGTGGGGATCCCTCTGCCTTTGATCTCTCCTTCCCAGGGTCTCAAATTACCAACCTCCCTGTTCTTTCTAGTAGTCTGGGTCTGTTTACATATATTCAACTGTTGAATATGTTTCCCCCATTGCCCCAAATAGACCTGTACCTCACCTTTGCCATGTACTTTCAGCAGTCAACTTCAATCCATACTTTTTTTGATAAAATTCACATTGTATGAACTTTGTCAGGCTCCCTGTCCTTGTCTTCAATATTTTTTTCTATATCTTTATTTCTTTTCTTCCTTCTCTGTCTCATGGGAATAATTCTCACTCTTTTTTCAAGGTAATCCCTTTCCTGTATGTCCCAAATCCCGTCTTTAAAACATTTTCTCTATCATCTCTTTTCTTTCTTTTATTGTCAAGTCTTTCCTTCCTATTCTTTTTTTCCCCTTCTCTTTAGTGTATCCAAGTTCGCCTTTCTGCGTTTGTCTATTCCACATTTATGGTATGTCTACTTCTATTTATGACCTTACACTTCTTTTTCACGGTCAGTTTCTCAAGGACAGCTCTTTGATGCTGCTTTCTTTCTTATCATTGGTCATTTAGCCCATTGCAGTTTGGCCTCTGCTAAAATATCTTCTCAGAGGTGGTCTTCTTTTCAGAACTCACTATACTCATTTTTCTGGAGCATGTGATATGACAGGCTATTCCTATTTCCTACTTCTCCACCTTTTCACCTGTGCTTTTCATTTGTCCACTTAGTATCACGTGTAGCTTTGCTCCTTCACTAACCCCTGCATTCTCCCACCTATCTTCATTCTCTTTTCATTCTTTACACTTTTATCTCCTTGCTTGCTTTCTTTCCACTGGCTTCCATCAGGTCCTCTATTTCCATGACCCCCAGCTCTATATATCTAGC